CACGCCTCGCCCCGCCTCACCCCACCCCACCCTTGACGTGAGATCAAAGTGTCGTCCCCAATCATCACCTCCTGTCGTTAACTGCGCGCCCCGGCCGGGACTGTTGCCAGTGCGTCACTCGCACGTGCATGTGATGTGATGTGGGTTTGCGCGCCTTTGCAGTTCTCTAACATTATCGACGGCCTTATTTTACGCAGCGAGTCGTTCCTGTTTCCTGGCTCGTGGTCCTGTCATTTGATCTTTATTTCATCATATACTGTAGAAACGGGTGTATTTGTGCAAATCAAACACTCACACGTGTGTGGCGCTTTGGCATTCACAAAACTCTTCGTGCCAGTGTTCAAACGCTTAAGACTGAAGCCATAACGCAAAAGTAAAACCTACAGACGTCATAGTGAAAATTGTGTGTACTTGTTGTGTTCGAGTGTTCCTCATCCTGCCGTTTGTCTGCCCCGCAGGCTTGATGCGCTAGCCGCTGTGCTGCTGCCGCCATGCTGAAGCTGCTGCGGCGCGGCTCGACGCGCATGCTGGCCGGCTCGGCCGTGCTGCTCATGGCGCTCGTCTGCCTCTACTACGCCAACTACTCGACGTACCCGCCGCCCAGCAGCACCACGCCGGACTTGGAGGCGGCCGCGGCCCGCGCCGCCCCCGCGCTGCCTCCGGCTGCCGTCCCCGCCGCCCCCGCAGCACCGGCGGCGCCCGCCCCCCAGGACGACCGGCCGCCCAACGCCTCGCTGTACACGGATAACTACGGCGCCTGGGAGGGCAACACGGAGATGGACAGCATCGTGTCGCCCGCCACCTGCCCCGTGCCCGAGGCCGCCGAGACCAACGTGGACACCGTGGAGCAGTTCCAGAAGTTCGACTTCCAGGTAAGAGCCCGCTGTCTGACGCGCCCTCTCGCGTGCAGTGGAGTGTGTGAATTTCGCCCGTGTAGGTGTGTGAACGTCGTACACTTGTAGGTGTATAAATACCCATTGGTTCATTAATTTCAGAAAATGTGTGAATTTTCCTGTAATGTTAACTTAATTGTGCTCTCATGTGTGTGGATTTGAGTTGACACTCTTGCACGTGTGCGGCATTCACACACTTCCGGTGTGCCCCTCTGGTCCCCTGCTCCCGAGGTGTGCACAGAGTGTGCACCCGAATTAGACGGCCGCCGTTAGCCGAGGGCCGCGCCGCTATCGGGGCGGGCCATCGCCACAGGGTGCGGGGAGCAGCAGCGTCGAAAATATTCCCCGGCGCACAATGCGGCTGCGCCGAGGCTCCGTTGTGCGTCGTCGCGGGTCGCTGCTCAGCTCAGCGCCGCCACCTTGCCGCCGCTGATTCCCCTTTCTATTTCCATAGGTTTTCCATTTGCATGTCTATGCCTGCGGGCCGCGGCCTGGCGCGCGGGGCGCGGTGGGGACGTGTGGTCGGGTGGCGTGGCACCAGCC